TAGAAGAAGCGAAAAAATGAGGGAGGTTCTGTCAGCCATCCAAAGAGATGAGTTTGAAAAATGTTTCCAAGAATGGAATCTCAGATTTGACAAATGTATTAAGTGTAACGTAGAGAACTTTGAAAGTGTTAAGGTTGTTTTGTAAGAAAATTTAAATACATAGTTTGGGGAAAAAAATAATTCTGTTTTTTGGGGAGTACCCCCTCATATACTCACACAACTACACTCTTTCCCTCAGGATAGATTCCACCAAGTGGAATTAAAGGATATGTACAGTTCCTTTTATTTATTTTTATTAAAAGATCATTTCCATTTCAGTTTTGATGGATATTGCCAAATTGTCTTGGACAAGATTAATCAATTTGTATTGTCCATCTACTGTATATGTGAGAGCCCATTTCTCAATAACCTCTGATACTTGATATGGTGCAACAAATTTTTTTTGCAGTGAATTACTTAATATGGCCCTTCTAGCCACAGTCTTTGTGACTTCCACAGTGACTGGGTGGTGGTAGTTGTTGAATGCCATCAAGTCAGCAGCTGCCTGTGACTCACAGCAACCCCATGTACAACAGAACACAGCACCGCCTGGCCCTGTGGCGCCCTCACAAGGGTTGCTGTGCTTGAGCGATCCAGCTCATTGAAGGTCTTCCTCTATTTTGCTGATCCACTACTTTAGAAACCATGATGCCCCTTTCCAGGGACGGGCTCTCCTGGTAACGTGCTCAAAGGACATGAGGCAAAGTCTCACCATCTAAAGAGCATTTTGGCTGTACTTCTTCTAAGACAGGTTTGCTTGCTCTTCTGGTAGTCCATGATACTTTCAGTCTTCTTTGCCAATACCACAATTCAAATGAATCACTTCTTCTTCAGTCTTTCTGAGTCACTGACCAGACTTCACATGCATATGCGGTGACTGAAAATAACCATGGCTTGGGTCAGGCACACACAGTGACTGTTCTTTAACACTTTAAAGAGGTCTTGTGTTGCACACTTGCCCAATGCAATATGTGTTTGATTTCTTTCTTTTTAAATGGGTGCTTTGATTTATTATATTTACTCTATTTTTAAAACCGTATAATCCACGTCTACAATTCATTAATCACAAAAGAAGAGTTGTACAATCATTACCATAAGTATTGGATTTCTTGACTACCGCTTCAGTGAGTGTTGATGGTGGATCCAAGTAAAACAAAATCCTGACTTCAATTTTTTCTCCATTTATCATTATGTTCTCCAGTGGCCCAGTTAAAAGATTTTTTTGTTCTTTATATTGAGCTGTAATCCAGATTGGAGGCTGTAGTCGTTCATCTTTATCAGCAGGTGCCTTGAGTCCTCCTTTCAGCAATCAAGGTTGTTATCTGCACATTACTGGCTATTACTGAACCTTTCTCCAGTCCTGATTCCATGTTCTTCTTCATAGAGTCCAGCTGCTAAGATTACTTACTCAGCATACAGATTGAAAAATATGGTGGAAAGATACAACCCAAGCACAAACCTTTCCTGATTTTAAACTACCCACTATCTCTTGCTCTGTTCACACAACTTCCTCAGTCTATATACAGGCTGCACATTAGCACAATGAGGTGTTCTGGAATTTCCATTCTTTTCAATGTTATCCATAGTTTGTTATGATCCACATAGTAGAATGTCTTGCATTTTCAATAAAACACAAGCAAACATCTTTCTGGTATTCTCTGCTTTTAGTCAAAATCCATTTGACATCAGAAATGATATACCTTGTTCCACATCCTCTTCTGAATCCAGCTGGAATTTCTGGCTGCTTCCTGTTGATGTAATGCTGCAACTGTTTTTTATCTATCTTCAGCAAAAGTTTACTTCCCTTGTACTACTAATAGTCTCTTGTTTCACAACATACAAAGATGACTGAGAAAAAACACTATTCATTTAGACATATAGATATAAACCTAATATAAGTGAATCCCTGGATAAAGGTCAATTCTATAAAAATAGTGATGATCCATCCTTGTGAAACAAAGATTGAAAAATCAATGATTTTTCTCTAAATATATATGTTCCACACAGAATGGATGATAAATCTAGAGAGTGGTATACCACTGATGAAACATATAACTATCCTCTAGTAGTCCTTTAATATTTCTTCCCCTTACTATTATGGTGTTTGTTTTACCTCATTAATCTTGTCAGACCTGCATATGTTCATTTGTATAATTAAGAGTGTTAGATGCATGAAAGCCAAGACAGAAAATCCTTCAGAAATAGTAATGGGAGGAATGATTCCTTGAGGGTATGGGAAGAGGGGAAATGAGGGGAAAACGGGGAGCTAATAGCAATGGTGACTGTATAACCCCACTTGAGGGGAACGAATAACAGAACTGCAGGTGAATGGATACACTGTATGGTATAAGATACTGCACATAATAATAATACATAATATAATAATAAAGGTTCCTAGGGGGTAAAGTGGGGGAGGAAGAGGTTAAAGGAGATGTGATATCAAAGAGCTCAAGAAGAAGAAGAAAATGTTTTAAAACTGATGGTAGTAGCAATTGTAACACTACTTGATCTCACTGAATTATGGATTTTTATATCTGTAAGAGCTCCCAATAACATGATTAATTAATATATATAATAATATAATATGTTCTTCTTCGTTCCATTTATCATAGGCCATTAAAGAATCCTAGTGGTACAAGGTTTCAATCCTTGACTTGCTAAAAGGTTAGCAGTTTGAACTCACCAGTGGTTCTGTTGGGGAAAGATGTGGCAATCTGTGCTTCCAAAAAGATTACAACCTACGGGGCAGTTCTATTTTGTCCTAGTGGGTTGTTATTAGTTGGAATCAACTTGGTAACAATGAGTTTTTAAAAAAATTTCTAGGCCATTAGCCAAGTAATTCCTCAGGGGACATAGCTTACCCTCTTTCTTGGCTAAGTCCCTGAACAAGGAAGCAGGGCAGCACAATTGTGACTGTTTAATCAAACATATGCACGGAAAACTCACTGCCATCGAGTTAATGCTGACTCATAGTGACCCCCTGTGTGTTTCTGAGACTGTAACTGTTTACGGAGTAGAAAGCTCAGTCTTTCTCCCTCGGAGCTGCTGGTGGTTTCAAACTGCTGACCATGAGGATCGCAGCCCAACTTGTTCCTCTGTGCACCGAAATACACGTAGCTATCTTGATTCTCCAGTTGTTTGGGGTGAGTGTTCCTACCTGTTCCATTCATGTAGTCCTTGGCCAGCTCAAACAACCTGAGGTGCATGTTGGTGATGGGATTAAAGGAACCACAAGCAAGGAGAACTACTTCTGTCTTCTCTGAACTTTCCATGGTAAGAATTTGAAGTTCAGGATCTACATGGAAAACTCTGGCATCTCTCTTGTGGTCTGCAAACGAAAACACACAGAGAAATACAACGTTAGTCATCAATTTTTTGATTTCGTCCTATGTTCTCATTCTAAATACATGGAAAAACCTATCTGGCTTTAATGACTGTGCTAAATCAATGGCAAAAATGGCCTAATGCCTTGTGTCTCGTTTTCCATGTGAATTTGCAGATCCTACCACACAGGAATGGAGTCTACACCCCCACTCTGTCTGATTTGCTTCTGCCAAAAGAACGCAGCAGGTGTTCCAGTTCTGAGTCTAGACCTTAGAGACCTGTGTACTTCTAGTCACAGTCCCCCATGCTCTGTCATGAGAACAAGTGCAGGCTAGCCTGCCACAGGATGATACCATACAAGGAAGAGAGCTGGGGGGACCACTGATGCATAGCCCACCACCAGACATGTAACTGAGGCCATCCTAAACCAACTAGCACCCGGCCAACCTGCTGAGCCACATGGGGAAACCAGCGGAAGCTGGTCCAGAGCAGCAAACCCGCAAGCTGACCTTACCAAGCTGACCCTAGAGTCACGAGTGAAAACGAGTATTTATAGTTGTATGCACTGGGGCTTTGTGATTATGCTACTGTAGCAGCATTTAATTGACACATTATATTCTTCCAAATGCAATTCCCCTAACAAGCTATCTTTAAAAATAGCATTTTGCCTCAGACAACTTTCTCATACTGCTATTACTTGCTACTACTGAATTACTACTACTTTCTGCATACTAATGTTATATTTTTCTTCAAAGATAGCAGGCAAGAAGTTCTGAGTGGGTGGGTAGGGCTTGTGTGTGGTGGTCTTCATTATACTGTAATCTGCTGGGGTTTTTTTTTTGTAATCTGAGAGCCAGCATTTTTGGTCTTTCACCTAAACTGGTCAGATTTCACAGCCAAATAGCCTTCGATGCTCTACCTGTATAGCACCATTCTGAATGACCTTGTGCAAGTCACCTAACCTCCCTTCTATTCCAGTATTCCTCGATCTTAAAACAGAGACGATAGCAGCTGCTTCGTAGGACTGCTATGCAGGTTAAAAAACAAAATATATTTACAGTATATCATTTTGGGGTGTACACTGTAAGAAACCTTAGTGGTACTAGGGTTAAGCTCCCAGCTGTTAATCAAAAGATGTGGTTTGAGTGCAGAGGGAGAAAGACCCGTCCATCTGCTTCCATAAAGACAACAGACAACAGAAGGAAACATTACCGGTCCTGCGCCATCCTCACAAGTGTTCCTGTGTTTGAGACCATGGTTGCAGCCACTGTCTCAATCCATCTCCTTGAAGGCCTTCTACTTGACCAAGCATGCTGGCCCTCTCCAGGAACCGGCCTCTCCTGACATGTCCAAAGTACAGGAGACAAAGTCTTACCATCCTTGCCTCTAAGGACACTCTCGCGATCCGAGAGACTATAGCGAGAGGCGCTGGAAAAGGACATCCGGTTAGGTCCATCAGAGGGTCTTCAGAAATAAGGAAGATGGATTAATCCAAAGGCTGCAACAGTGGGCTCAAATAAGCAGGACCAGACACTGCTCTGCACTGGGTCACTAGGAGTTGGCGCCAACGTGACAGCACCCAACACCAACACACCTGCAACGGTGCTAGGCACCTTATGTGTATTATTAGCAAGAGGACCGACCAGTACCTCATTTTCACAGTCTTATCCAACTTTTTTAGTGGGAATTTCAAGACCATGACTACAAAGAGGACATAAAAGCGATCCACTGCACTCCAGCCTTCTTTCCAGAAGAGCTGTGGCATGAGGGGTGATGGGGAATGTACATAGCCCCGCAGCTTCGGACTCGGAGGGGAGTCAGTGTGCCTGCCCATCACGGAGAACGTTCTCAAGGGCTAGGGCAGAGGGCTAAGGTCCAGTGTCAAGCCCAGCCCCAGTCATCTCAGGTTGCAGGCAACATTCCCCACGGAGCGAGCGGGAGCGGAAAGCAAAGTAAACTGAGAGCAAGGGGTACCACTTCCTAGGAGGCCTGCACCTGCGACAGAGTACAGAGAAGGACGGAACAAAGAGCTTTGCACCCCTCCCTGTCCTGAGGGATGAGCACAGCCTCGGGTTTCCAGTCCGCCTCAGGGGATGGGAGGAGCTGGGGAAGCAGGTCTCAGCACAAAGGGAGCTAGCTTTCTCTCACGTCACATCTAGGACCCATCTCAAATGTCCAGTTCAGTTTCATTAGCTCACCATGGATAAAGCCAGTCTGTGCTCAGCCTGGACGTTAGACCCTTTCAGCCAGTGAGCACCCATCTCAGCCCAGGGTGTGTTGACAAGAATGAGGGTCTTTCCATCTCTTGAGATAAGTATTTTCTTGGTGTCCTTGCATGGAGAGAGAGGACACGAGAGGGGATATACAGGGGTGTAGGAAAGTTGGAAGCTTTAACAGGACTGTTCTGGACACCCCTTGACTGGCTGCAGGGTTTCCGGGGCCGGTTCATCATGATTCACTTCTGCCTGGCTCACACCGCCCATTACGTGCACTGCTGGCTGCCCAGATCACATCGACACAGGCTGTAAGTGTGTCCACCCAGCCCATCATATTGAAAGGGAATTAGTATTCATATACATCTACTATTCTATAGAAGAATCCTGATCAAAAGGGGGGGGGGGAATAGAGAATAGAATTTCCTAGTCTCATGGAATCCAGACTTTCTTAAGCCATTAAAGCCAGATGATCTCCTAAACTATTTCCCTGAGGAAATCTGTAAGCCTTGAAACCATCCCTTGAGGTCATGTTTAAACCAAATAATAGTTTTGCTAACTAGAAAAGAATATCTGCCTTAAGCATTATATGCTGTAAAAAATATAAAATTATGTGACTCCATTGACAATGGCAACGTGAAAGGATGAGTGAGAAGCTTAAGGGGCCAGTGAGTGCATTAGCGATGGTGAGGGAGTTTGGAAAAGATGGTTGAGCAAAGTTGTACAGCTTCCAGAGTGCCACCCAAGTCACCCCCCATGTGTCCCACATGGAGACGCTGTTGGCTGGCACACATTTTGTTTGTGTGTGTGTATTTCCACCAAAAGGGGAGGTTGCTTCCTCCTGAGACAGTCTTGCAATTTAACATTCAAAGGTTGCTATTTTAAAATCACTAAACTTTTGGAAAATTTTAAAACACCGAGGTGAATCTATTCATATAACATTATGTAAACATTAAGCCAGTTTTCAAAACATTAAGCTTTCAAAGAGAACACGGATTCCTTTTTGACTTTAATGTCCTATTTCACGATGTTCAGAATAATTAAGTCTCTGTTGATTATAGTGTCAGATTACTATCAGATTGTAAAGTAAGTACAGGTTGATTTTTGCTAATCTATAATGAAATCTCTGTTTACTAATACTGCTCACCACATATTAGTAAATAAGCACCAGAAAACCCAGGCTTACTGGGTCTTCCATCCCTGGATGGCCAACTGTTAAGTGCTTTGACAACCTCTCCGTATTCATACTGCAAAAAGGATGCTACTTCTTTCCAGATCAGAAATTTAGGCACATAACTACATACTTGGTCTAACAAGGTTGCTATTGCTTTAAATAATTTGGAGTATATTTTGAAGTTGCATATCCTCTTGATCAGCTGTGGGATTCAGCCGGTTCACATTGGTTTGGCAGAACCAATACCTAATTTTTTGTTGAGTTCGGCAAATTGTTTTTAAAATGGCTCTTGTAATCAGGGTGCAGCCGTCCAATGTGGAAATCAGAGATTTTCATTCCTTACTCTTCTTTAAAGTTTATCTATGCAACCGTGTATTCTAAGTGCCTGTAATAGTGTTCATTCCATCCATCAGAACTATGCTTAACGATATTTATTCATTTCATACAACTTGTTATATTTTTTTATGAAATACTACATCTTTATTTCCTTGTAAACAAACATGTAACACAATGAGAAGTGCCGAACAACCAGGGGGTGACATGTTGTCATTCACGTCAGCTTCGTGTGTGCCCTGAATTCCAGAAGATGTTATGAGTGAATTATGCAATTCTTGAAAGTGTTCAAAGAGCTAACAATATTTCGGAACCATTGATGTAACTTCAGCATAAGCAGAAAGGGGTTTTTCAAAAATGAACGCAGTATGTTCAGAGGAGATAAGTCACCTAACTCTTTCTAATATATCAAATGCAATGACTATTGTCTAATTGGCCTACCTCTAAACTTTAGAGCGCTAAAGGAATGGGACCCTACTCCTACAGGGAAAAGATAGTTAAGGGTAAATCATACAGAAGAGGGTGCTCAGATCAAAGTGAAGAATATTGCAAGTGAGGATGCCAATCAAGAAGCAATATGAAAATCTTTTTTTTTAATGGTTTTATTAGGGGCTCCTACAACTCTTATCACAATCCATACATCCATCAATTGTGTCAAGCACATTTGTACATTCATTGCCCTCATCATTCTCAGAACATTTGTTCTCCACTTAAGCCCCTGGCATCAGGATCTTAAATAACAGCTCTATTGTTTTTAGTCAGGTGCTATTTTTTCATTAATATTTTAAAACGCTTATAACATAATCTAGTTTTGTGTACCTCTTATTGTTTCTATTTACATATTAGCTGTATGAAATAATCAACTACCTTTCAGTATATATTATTTTATACTTAAAATGGCCATTAGGGTAGTAACCTAGTTGTTAAAATGTTTTTGTGGTTTTTAAAAATCATTTTATTGGGGGCTCATACAAATCATCACAATCCATCCATTCATCCTTGGTATCAGGTCCTCATCCCGCCGCCCCCGCCCCCATTAAATTGTTTTAATCCCATCACTGCTTTTGAAAACTTCACTGCAGATAGTTCTTTAAGGTAAGTTTGTCTTCTACAAATACAATTAGTAACAGATCATCACGGTACTAATCCAGTGTAATGTGGAGAAATGCACGTCACTGCTACTGAAGAAGAGCTTCTTACATACGTGGAAGAGTCTGGGTGGCCGGGGAGGCTGCACGCTGGACTCCTTGCTCAAAAGCACGGCTGCTCCTGGGTAAAGATGAG